AACTATCGAAAATGCGTATCTGTTATCACTAAATTAGTTTTTTGAAAAATGAGTATTTGGAGACCCGTAAGAACATCATTAATGCATGGACAAATGAGTGCGTTCTGCATTTATTGATCTAATTTTCTGTGTTGGAATACCAGAATATCCCTGCAGGTAAACTTGTCCTGTACCTAGAATTTACTGGAACAACTTTGGGCATCAGACAGCTCTCAGCTGGCCCAGAACGGCGCAGTCAACGCCCCTTTGACCATGCTCTTGTCCAAAGTGGCCGTATCTGTTACTGCTTTATGGGGCTGAGGCTGCCGATGCTTTTAAGGCCATTTTTCATAACCCAAGACTCATTCACTTCTGTGGAAAAAATCTGGGTATCTGGTAAAGAGGCTTAAAATAGAACCGGTAAGTTATGAGAGTCTGATGCTGTGGAACGGCAGATATTGTGTGAGATACAGAAACCACGAGGACTGTGCCTAGGGAGAGCCGTGGCAATAGTTATTACAGCACTGCTTTTCTCTCATAAGCAGAATCATGACATTAACTGCGGGGGCCATTTCTGGACACATATTAATTCCCTTTTTTGGCTATTTATTGGCCAAGTTCAATAAAAATTCTACCAAAAAACATATACAGAATTAGATCCTAAAATAGCAATTCAAGTATTAACATTAATTTTCTATTAGTAACAGTGGTAAATTATACTTCTGTGAATTTTTATTCATTGCTTTCTGAAAATGTTCTTCACATTGTATATTTTAATCTCCCAACCACTAGGCCATTGTAATCTCTTCCGTAAATTGCAAATTCCACTGATTAAAATTCACTGTATTTGAACCAAGTCACAGTTATGGCATAGGTTTCCAGACACAATTATACTTATTTGTGAGTAAGGCAAAGTCCCTGTCCACATGTGTATCAAAAGCTTCCTACTTAAAGAAAAAGAGAAGTTGGCTCTAAGTAAGATGGTATTTAATTTTCTTCAGCCAATGAAATAATCTATGAACTAGTCTGCTGTGCACTTCAGATTATTTAGAATCTCTATTATTCCCTTCTTGGTCTATTTTTATGTATACACAGAGTATTTCGTCTCAAAAATGCAAATATATGCAGTGCTATTTTACTGTTCTGAAACCTCTGTTTATATATTCCGAGCTAGCTGGAACTTTTTCAAGAGCCTTCATTATCTTAGACATTTTGAGAATATTTTGAAAGCTCGAATAAATTGCCTAACCACCAAATGCCTAGGGCAGCTAGGCAGTGTCTGAAGACTTCGTGAATTGAGTGACTCTTAAATTAGACATTTGCAAGGTTATTTTTAATTAATCACCATAGAAAATGTAATTAGCATGCACTACTTATCATTCGAATAGCAGTTGGCAATTCTTTTATTTTGTAAATTCTTCTCAGAGCCCAGAGTTCAGGAGGAGAGGGGGAATCCCAGAGGCTGATGTCAGGAGCAATCGGGGGTGACTTAGCTGGCTGCTGCTTGGGAAATAACATGTCCCTTATTCCACGCTCTATTGGGCAGGATTTTTTAAACTTGGAAGCAGACTAGTGTCCGTGCCCATCACCCCTCCCATCGCTTCGGACCAGGAACGTGCTCGGTGAGGAAATGACGGCACAATTGCACAAAGCTCCTCCTCGCCAGCCGTGGTCACAGCCCAGCACCTCCCAGGGCGGCAGCTCTCCTCGCCAGAGCTGGGAAGGACGCCCACCACCACGGCGCCCGGAGCTGGTAAGGATGCCCAGAATCACAGAGACGCCCTTTCCAAGACCACACACCGCGCCGTACCCGTGCCTGCTCGGACAAGACCATCCCCATGGACGCAGGAGATGGAAGTTGGGGTTGCCCCATCCCTGGAGGCATCCAAGGCCACATGATTTCGAAAACCACCAAACTTGAGGATGAGTTAGTTACTACATTGCATTTGGGTGATTCTAGAAATAAGCTGAGAAGTCCTTCTGGGAGCTTTTTTCAAGCCAGCTCTCACTTCTCCTTAAGGAAAAGGCTGTGAGACTCTGAGAAGGGGGGGGGGAAAGAAAAAAAAGTCTGGTTCTGCTGTTCTTCACTGCACCCAAGGAAGAGAGAACTATTACTCTTCTGGGTTTATACCACTCCTACCGGAGCTTTAGCAGCCTGATTTAAAATAAGATTTCAGCATCTGAAGCACAACTTAGAGAGAATATAGCCATTTAAGTTAGAATTTATGGTTCTGAAAATCCCTCCTCATCTTTCTCAGCACACTTAAACCAATTGTCACTGTTCTCTTTATCTTAACAGTTTCTCAAGTGCCAAAAGTTTTTATTCAGTGTATTTCCACAAACACCTCAGTACTGACAGGGCTGAGCAGACAGACCATACAACCTCCCACCTAAACCTGGCATCATATAAGAAACTAGCATTTATTTTTTTTTAGTTTTCTGTGATTCTTACTGCTTGTGTTCCTAGAAGGCCTTCAGAATAAAGCCACACGTGAAGTCATGCTAGTGGCCTCTTAGTTCTTCTAAGCACTGCATGGGAAAGATTTATCTACTCCTTTCATGTAGGAACTCAGTTGTCAGAAAGACCATGTAAGAAGTGAACAAAAAGAGAACATGTACAACAATGAAAGAAGAAAAATCCCACAACTTACCTACAGAGGAAAGCATCTCATTCCAAGGCTATTTATATATTTTCATGAAACATTAACTGGTTAACATACGTAAAATACTTCAGATAGAATATCTCAATATAATCAGCTGCCATTGACATCACAGAAGTGCAATTACCAGGTTGTTTGGTGTGTGTCCCCTTCCCCTTTTCTCTATCCTTTTTAAAGGAGAACAGTCAACAGATCTCCACCCTGATCAGTCACTTAGAAGCAAGGCACTAGCAGTATTTTGTAGCAACACATAACCCTCCTTCTTGAACTAGTCTTAGTTCTTTTAAGACGCTTTATTACACTCACAACCATACAAATTAAAAATGAAACCCCTCCATAACAATATCCACCTAAATTAAACCCAATAAAGCACTAGTCTGTCTGGGAGAGCCTCCTGCTCCGGGTCACCTGGTGGAGGATGCTCCCCAGGAGACAGAGCAGGGGAGAACCTCTGCTGCCTCATCCCAGGCTGCTGCCAGGCATGGTGCTCCTGATCCCACACCTCTAGCAGGTCCTCCTTCCAGACTAATCTTTGCCTCTTCCCTTTTTCTGCCCAGTGGGGCACGATTTCCAATTCTTTTTTTAGCAAACACTCCTCAGCTTTTCCCAAGCTGGGCATTAGAGAGCACAGCATAGATATTACTCTAATGAAAATGTCATTTTTACTACCCCAGTAGCTGATAATAAAACTTGTTTCCCTATTGAGACCTTTTTAACATACTATTTGTTTTAAACTGCCTATATTCTTGTAAACAGCTTAGATTGCTGTAAATTGATCCCCCTGACATCCCTCTTTCTGGTGTGGATAGTCAGGATAAAGAGAAGGCCAGGTTAATTACAAAGAAGATGTGTTAATTAGGTAATTAACACATCACACTTTTCTGTAGCAGGGAGAAAGGAGGAGAAGGAGGACTGGGGAATTGAGTGAAGTTATAGTAGAAATTGGCTTAGGAAGCCCAGAGAGCTGGGCTTTGATGAGACACCACAGCTGCATCCAATGTGCTCTGTCAGAACCCAAATCTCCTGTAAACTGCACGAATTACCTCAGACATTCATCTTCCTCTAGTGAACGCCAGCAGTACAAACCACACTCACTTAGCTGGGAGTTTGCCAAAGTTTCCATAGACCTGGATGAGCGTGCCCCTCCTTGGCCTGTACAGCAGGAGACCTCACTGAGGTCTCCACAGAACAAGGAGCTACTCAAACTCCTCCCTGCCCACCTCTGAGAGTGGCCAGGGGGGTGGGAAAGGGGCTGCTGTCCTCAGAGAAACTCAGTGGATCACACCCAGAGAGACGGAGGCTATTGCTGCTATCAACCAGCTCTGCCTGATGCTCTTTTTGCACTTATTTCAGTTGAGTGAGGACACCTATCTCATAAATCATGAGTTTTGTCTCTGACTACAAAATCAGTTTGGACCCCATATGTCTGCCAGAAACGCCCCTTTCACCAGACAATCACTTGGACCCACACCTGACAATCACTCCATGAGCTTCTGCAGCTTCAAGCTCACGCTCCCCGAACCAACTGAGATACCAGGACAGACCCAACCAGCATAAAAAATGAGGTCTGCACGGAATGAAAGCTTTCAGGGCGCTTGTTGGAACCCGCACGTAAGTTTTATTTTCCTGTCTGTCTGTGCCAGGCAAAGGGAACAGCACCAATCTGCAGAGCTCTGCTGTATAATTCCAAATATTTATAATCTATGGCCCGACTGAATTTATTAATGCCATTTAACCTCTGGAATGCGTGGTGCTGCCTGTCACTCACGCTCACTGCTGCCAGGAGGTGCGCAATCACTGTCAGGCAGTGTGAGGAGGGTCTCGGCTGTCTCACAAGGCATCTTACCCTTCTGCTCAGAAATGCTGACCTCTGAAACAGGGAGGGGAAACAAAAGCTGCATATTAAAATCCCCTCTCTGAAATCATACTGTGAGCGGTTTGCCTTTTTGGTAATTCATCCACCCTTTCCTCCTTTCCTGCCCATGTGAGCGACTGGAGATCCAACACACTGCTTTTTTCTCTATGTTAGCAGTGATGTGGGTTATCATTTTCAAAGTGACAACTTTGTGTCGTACCCCTACAAAAAAATTTCCATCATAGATAGGCATTGTATCATTCTGACAAAGCAATAGTGATTGCAGGGATTTTTTTCCTTCTTCAGGCTTAATTTGAGTCCTTACATATCTGTAATTTCTCAGTTGCTCTAACATCAGCATCTATTACAGACATTGAAATTCCCACTTACTCATAAAAATTCCGGTGAGCATTGAAACACGTTTCCCTGCTGTTATCCTGTAAATTAGCAACGTTACATTCAACTCAATCTAATTCTACAGCTTTGTCTAATCATTGCTTTATTACCTTCAATCTTTTTTCCCTGTTAGGCTGTGATGGCAGAGCGAAAGGCTTATGCTTCTCTGGGAGCCGGGTAATCCTGTGCCCACTAAACTGCACTCTGAGTTTACTGCTCCGTTCCGAGCTTTGCTGATGAAACCAGTACTAAGGCAGGATGCGGGAGGTCTCAGCACAAGCCTGACCCTCTCAGAACGGTGTCTTACCTGTAAAACAAATTGCTGACATCTGAAAAAATGTTTCATTTCTATTTGCAGTGCATACTTCTCAGACTCAGGTAGCATATGCTTATAGTTGGGCTCTTTTGTTTGACTTAAATAAAAAATATTAAGTACATCTACTGCATCAAAAACCACTATCAGTTTCTTTGAGTTAAGTAGCGTACTCTTCACCTGTGCACATTTTTTGAAGATATGCTGTAGCTTATGTTTTTTCTTCCCTATTTCTTCAATTTTAGCTCTGGCAGATTTTTGCCCCCAGTTCTCTTCTTTCACTCAAGTTACTTCATTTAGTGTCTTCATACTGCTGTTCCTGTGTCACGCTCAGGAATCACTGTTTATCTTCTTTATTTCAGCAAAGTAGTTCCAATGCCTCTGCAAAACTTAACATGGATTTATACAGAGCCCTTTTTCAGATACCAAACCTTTGAAGCTAAAGCTATCAGAGATTCAATTTTCTATCCGACAACCCTAGGCAAGGCCATTGTTCTAGTCCTACAGACAATTAAAATGAAGTTATTCCTGTTCCTAGATTGATGGGGTGTAAATTTGTGGTTGTGATTTACAAAAGTATATGTATTTGCACCCTAACTTTCCTACACAAACATATTGAATGCTAAACTCAGGAAAAGGATTAATTTTCTCCCGTTTTGAACTGGATGAGTATTATCTTCATTTAGCTGTTTAAAATTTACCTCTAACTTTCTAGTTTTCTAGTCTAGTTTATTTCTAGTTTTCATGATCCTACTTTTCCCAGGATAAAAACTATGGCTCATCTTTGGGACTGTTTAGCAGCTCCAGCAAAAATTAAATCCACAGATTATTCACAGCCCCGTTCCTGTCTGAATGCCTACTTAGTGCAAAACCCCAGCAATCTACTACTTATGGGTTTGCTTTATGATTTTCAGATTTGACTATCTAACTACATTATATTGTTTGTTCGCCTTATTTTAAGTTGTTTTTTTTTCAAAGTTTTCAGTGTCTTCATTATTGATGATACAGACAATGTATGTTAAGCCTCCAAACTCTATCGAGTAACACTTAATTACACTAGATAAAAACCAATTGCTTCACACAAATTATGCCAAAAAATCCCAGCATTGTAATTGCATCATGAGCTATTAATATTGCAAATAGTAATTAAGCTACGTGCATGGTAATGCAGGAATCCAAATTATTATGACAGACAAATATTTCAATAGAAACCCAGAAAAAAGTGACAGAAGCAAGCTGACAGGAGGTGAGGAGAAGCAGCAGCAGAAAGGAGAAACTGCAGAGGACAGAAAAGAGGACATCTGAGGGCAGAAATAAGTGGAAGCAATCAAGGAATGGCATTTTGTAAAAGATCCCAGGTGAAACAAAAGTGGTCTGAGTTGTCATATCTGGCTGACAGTCTTTTCTCTGTATTGTACTTACTTTTTTTCGCTACATTTACTGATTAGTAGAGTCTCAAAATTCTTCCAAAGAATAAACGAGTTTTAAAATTGAGATGCAGTTTTAATTGTAGGCTTTATGAAGTAGATGGGAAGAGCCGAATCCACATCCAACCTCAGGAGACACAGATTAACTAGAGAAAATATGGGAAATAGTGTCGGAGATGGAGAACAGTTTGCAAGAACAGAAAGTCAGTGAAAGAAGGTAGGGAAAACTGGTACCAGGGCTGTTCAGTGCTTTTAACAATTAGCTTTCAAATTGCATTTCCAGTTTCTTTTAGAATAGTCTTTAAATATTTTTTTTTTATAACTGGCAGAAAGATAGACTACATTTAAAATAGCATTGAACCATTTTCTTTCTTACTTTTCCTAAAGCAGCATTGACATAATGAGATCCAACATGAATAAATTCTGCACTTCACAATGGTTAGCTGTTATTTTTTATATTTACACAGAGACTCAGATTCTTTTGTAAAATTTTTTGCAGGCACTGATTCCCCTCTGAAAACGAAGGATTCCACATTTCTTAAAATAAGGTCATTTGCGTGACTGAGTTCCAATTCAGGTGTTCAAGCACAAAAGCTGTAATCCCACTGTAATATATAAATGTATTCATCTGTACTTTTACATAAGGTAAACAAGGAATGGAAGAAAGAAAACAGTACCATTCTTTTGCAGGGAAAACCACTGAAGCACCATCTTAACGGTAGATTCATAGATCCCTCCCATTAACTTCCATCAAAAAAGTTAACAGTACACGAATCTTCAACTGCCTTCTCAGTTCTACCCAAGGATAGAATTTTGTCATAATAAAACTCAAGGGAATTACAGAAATGGTAATAAATCAAAGTGCCTAATATCTTGTCTATTAGGAAAGTGGTACATAAACTCCAATTAAGCACAAACATTCTAACGTACAAGCACTTACTTTTCACTCAAATATGTACGTTCTTCTAAGGTAGTTTTCATAGTTTTCCCCACTGTATTACTTATTTGTAACTAAAAAAAAAAAAAAAAAAAAAAAAAAAAAAAAAAAAAAAAGAAATATAAAAAAAAAAAAAAAAAAAAAAAAAAAGAAAAAAGAAAAAAAAGAAAAGGAATATTCAATAACTATGTTTGAAGGGTGATAAAGACAGAGCAAATAAAACTTCCAAATCGTTCAAATCCACCAGGGAGATGGTAGCTCAAAACCATCATTCACAGCAACATGAATTCTGTACATAAAATCACAGAAAAGCATCTGGAAAAAAATATTACAAATCGATATGTAAGTGATAATTATTCTCTTGATGAGACACTGTTTGGTATACAATACTACACTAATCCTGTCTTACCTAATACAAAAGCAAATGTTTGTGATGAACTCTGGTTATTTTTAGTACAATAAAAGGCAACTTTTGCTGTGGGTACTGAAAACCTTTCAGGCCCTCTGCTAGTGCTGCCTTTGGCTGTCACACACATCCCCAGTTTGGTGTGGGATGTAGTAATTTAGGAACTCTGATTTTTAGAGTTTCCATTTCTGTTTTTACTGCTCAAAGGGTTCCCAGTCTGAGATATCAAAACCAAAATATAAATAAATCAAGCCATCCCTTCTTCCCTTTAGAGAGCGTATATAACATGTTTATCTCTTGGGAAGAGTATGAAAGGATCTCTGAAGCTGGAGAAAAACCTCAGTGATTGGTTATTTCCCACAGGATTCCAACAGTTTTGCAAAACTGGAAGAACTGCTCCCCCAAGACTCTTTGCTATCCCAGTCAGTCATGTTTAATTCTCCAAATCTGTGCTAATTTTAATTCCTTCAATGAATACTGAAATGTATGTTTTCAGGGAGCGAGAAAAGCTATTTGGAAATATTAATGGCTAGGCAGCGAATTAAGAAAGAAATCATTAAAATACTCAGCTTTTCAGTATTAAAAGAGATGGATTTTTTAAAAACGTGCGCAAAATAGTTGTGATAATGTAAATATATTTGCATTTGGTATTATTATGCTAACATATCAGCAGTAATGTTCACTCTATTAACAGAAATTGTAATAACAGTGAAGGTCTTTTAGCCTCGCCTCTGTTCTGGAATTACCTGTTTTCTAACAGTAAACTGACTATCTGTATTAGAAAACTATCATAGCTCTATTTAGAGTTTGTAACAGATTTCAGTTCTTTGTGATTGTAGTCTTCTCCTCGAGGTGTGTGTTGTGTCTCTTTGCTACTGAGCACTACACAAAGCACTGGATTCACACATGAGATTTTTCAAAGACATCTCTAAGCCTTACCTTGGAAACCAAAGTCTTCCCAACAGGGTTTCTGATCCCAGCATGAAGGACCAGCCTTCCCAGGAAGACACGGGAAGAATTTTGACCTTGATGACATAGAACGTGAACCACGTGGGAGGGAAAGGTAGAGAAAAAGATGGAGTTTGGGCACCATCCAGACTATCTGCGCTGGAGCAGTGGTAGGTGTGGGCTGGCCTGGGTCTCCTGCTCCCCTGGGTCCCCTCTGGTGGTGGGTCACCCTTTGAGATGGCTTTCTCACAGCAAGGCAGGGGTGGAGAGGCTCGTGTGCCACCACCAGGAGCAGGGACATGGACCCGAGAGCCCGCAGGATGGGAAAAGTGTTCCTCCTGGGCGGAGAGAGGTCTTTCCTCTGTTCAAACCCCAAAATAGGATGCTTAAGTCAGGTTTCAGTGTTAGATGAGGAATTTAGAGAAATCACCTGCTTTGCCGGCAGCCTGGAGTGGAAATATGGAGCCGGGGCTTGAGGGTCTGGGGCTTGGGCCCTGAGTTGGCGCTGGCTATGTCCTAGGCTGGACCCGGAGACAGGTGGAGCAGGGCTGCCTTCAGCTGAGATCTTCACAGATGTGAAAGAGACAGAGACCCAGCCCTGCAGAAGCCTCACCGCCCAGTGGGTGAGGAACGGAGCTGGTGCCCTGGGGAGCGCTCCCAGGGGCTGCTTCTGCATTTCTGCCAGAAAAGCATCCCAAAGTCTCCTGCATCCTCACTTGAACTCCGTGCTGTCTCTGTCTGGAAGGATTTACTGACAGCTGCAGTTTCTGCCTTTTCCAATGATTCTGCAGTTTGTGTTGACATGAATCCTGTCAGCTTCCAAGAGACAAGTCTGGTAGGGAGTCAACTGCTTATTGCAAAGGCTTTGCCAGCAGAGATTTATTTTTCCCCGCTCCGTTCTGCTGATTGATTTATTCTAGCACAGGAACGATGATGTGGGGACTGCTTGTGAGGATCCAGCAGATCTGTTCTTGGGATGGGTGGGAGCTCTGTGGCTCCAGAGCTGAGCTGACAGGGGTCTTCACTTACGTGACCTGCTCTTCACTGTCACGTTTTACATTGCTGCTTGTAATAGCATGAGGATGCCTAAGGAAGCCAGTTTTGGTTTGGTTTGGGTTTTTTTTTAATCTAAATGACATCTTACTCCATTTCTTTTTTTTCTCTCTGCATTAGATACACTTCTGCTGAGTCACTGAACTGGTCTCAGCTTCCCCATAGAACCAGTGGGAGAGTTGCCCAATTTTCACACATGTATTTCACAGAAAAGTGATTTTTCAACAGCAGACCTCTGGTATAGTCTATAAAGTCGTGGACTCCTAAATAATGCATGGAGACCAACTGACAACCAGCCGATTTGTCCAGGTTAGTGTTCCCAGCTTCCTCAGGAGGAGTTTAAAAGACTACATTTTGAACAACACTACATGGGACTACATTTCCCATAATTTGATGCCATAAATAGCACAGAATGAATGCCGTGTTAAAAAGAACAAGTGATAGAGTGGAAGGCAGGATTTTACGCTCTTCTGTTATTTTAAAATCTGCTGAAAGAGTGATGAAAATGACTTCTCAGTAATAATTCAAGCATAATATAAACCCAAGAGACTTCACATCTTGATACAAAGACACAAATATGAACACCATTTTATCAATAAAGGGTTTACTGTATATTCTTACAGTGCTGCATTACAATAACCTCAGTGTCAGCACTGTTTGTTACACACTGGACACATGGACTGGCAATATGCTTATTGTAGGATCTCCTCCTTAATAAGTCTTTATCTCACTATTTCTTATATGAAAACAAAGAACCACTTGGCAGGACAGTCCTATAATCTCTGAAAATCACACAAAAATTAATGAAGGATATTTTTTAAAGTCTGGGGTTTATTGCATGATGCTAATTATGTACTTAGCTTACCCTGTGAATGAGGGAGGATTTGTGAAAAAAACCCCAAACCATCATTTAAGAGCAAAATGTAATTATTTGTGAAAAAATGCTCTCAATTCCAGAGAGAATTCGCTGTCTGATTTTTTTCAACCTATTTAATATAAGCACAGAGATGCTTCAGCCCCTCACAAAGCCTTCATCAAGTATATAATATAACAGAACTGCAGGGATGCACACGTTTCTGAATAAAATTCCATGATGGAAAGAATATTAAGACAGCTTTAATAGAAGTCCCATAGTTATCACAGTAAACTGACCAAATTCAGCACTTTGCTTTCACGACTCAGTAATGGTTACCCAAATTTAGTCCTCAGCTATCAAAGAATGTTAACTGCACAGAATTAATTTTATATAAATACCTCATCTATTTTATTCAAAAACCTTTCACCATCTTTAAAAAATTATATTTGTTTAAAATTCATCTTAAAATATGGACACAATCCTCATTTTCAAAGTAAACTTAATGACTTTGAAGCGTTGTTAACCTGTGACACGCACAGCAAGGGCCATAACTGGGCAAGAAGGCCCCACACTAATTATGTCATCATTGGACTCAGCTTAGTAAGAAATCACAGACAACGTATGCACTATATCTGCTTTTAGAAATCTCTCATGAATGATGTGCACAGACTCTCATTTCATACACGGTTATTATTTTAATTGCTCCTAACAGTTTCTGAATGACCCAAGCAGGCAGAAGGTAGTTGGAGGCTTTCTACTGATGTAATTTAACTGCAGACACATTAATGTAATTTGGCTTATGCCTTTATCTTAAGTTTATCATTTACCTGAGCTATTATTCTAGAAAAGCAGAACTTGATTTTGGCACAAGTTTTCACAACAAAACAAAGAAAGGGAAAGAGAAACTTTGTGTTTTTAGGATTAGGATTGTAGAAAGTAATAATAAGAATAAAACCAATACATTGCCAGCGCTGTGCTGTGCTGCACGTTAGAGACAACATCCATCTCAGCCAGGCAACATCGGGAAAGCATCAAGCCCAAACACCTTAAGACTGAGACACTTATTTTCAGTGCCACTAGATTGCTCGCACTGGATTTCTTTACATTCTGTGCTGTGCTTTTAGCACCATCTGAAAGCAAAGGAAAATATTTGTTTTCCACACAGGCTTCCCCCAGGAGTTTAAACATATTTCAGAATTAGAAACTACTTCTTGAATTTAGGAAAGTTCCTGAGGAATTCTTCCAAGCCTTGATTATGTGTTGGCCCTTGAAATAACAGAAATTCCTGACAAAATGTTCACGATTTATTAAACTGAAAGTCCCCTGAAACACGACCGTAGAAAAGCACTGGCACCAAAAGCAGTGGCAGGATCACACCACCACATTTGAAGGAGGGACTACTAGTGTTCTACACAGGGCAGACACTGTGAGTACACCAGAAATTGCAGATAACTGCTGGTGGTTCTCATCTAGGAAACATCTAAAAAACACCTTGCCATGGAAATTATCTGTTTGTTTTTCAAAAGGCCAGCATCTCATGCGTGGAATAAGTAAGGGTAATAAAAAATGAACAAATTTCACTGGTAGGGCGTGTGGTTTTATGTTACAATTTCCATCAAGTAATTTTTACCCTTCTGTATTTATGAGATTATGGTTTTAAAACAAACAACGTGGAGGCAGATTCTAGTCTTATTCATGTAGCATAGTATCATACACCACACTTTTTTTGCAGCAGTGCAATATCAATAGCAGAGTAAAGCACGAGCTGTTGTATTAGAATTTGACCCTTTATCTGCTGCTCAGTGGATTTCATGTAGAATTACTGAAAATCAATAAGCATGGACAACCTACAACCTTTTTCTTTTTTTTTTTTTAGAACCACTGTGAATGACAACGAGTAGATTTTATGAGCAAAAGAAAAAAAGAAGCCTACAGAGATAACTTGCCCTCTCCTGGCTACCTCACAGTGCTTACCATCAAGTGTTGGCTCTTTAATCTTAGTAAATGACAATTTTTGGAAGGTTTTTTTGCCTTAACATAATATTACCCAACCAAAAAAAAAAAAAAAGCATGAGACAATTCAGTCACAACTGGCTAATAAAAGGAAATGCTTGGAATAAATTTTCATACATACCCAAAACCTCCTGCGTACTCACCACGTCCTGGCCATACCAAATTTACCTGTGTTTTTCATGACTTGTATAATGTCAACAAAACCTATTCGTTTATTCTAATGGAACACTGAAAAATGGAGTTTGAAATTTTTTAAGTAGATATATATCGTTAGTACGAACTCTAAAGAAATTAAGGATTGTGGTGTGATCTGTGGAGAGTTGCAGACCCAATATTGTATTCCAGAATTCCTCCTCTATCTTAAAATGATCACAAACGGCTGTGGAGGGGCTGACGATAAAACATATTTGTGGTAACACTGCTCCTCGCATGATGGATTACTGAGGCTTAGGAATTGACAGAGACTCATGAATTTGCGGTGTAAAAAGGAACAGCCATATATTTTTACACACTGGTATTGAAGTTTTAAACCTAAATTACAAGATACTCTTAACTAAGTCATCAGCTCACATTCCATGAGTCCTCAGTGAGGAAAGGAGAGCAACCAACACCTCTTCACAAAGACCTCAGCTGAGCAAACCTCATGCAGCCTTTCCTTAGGGAGAACACAGCTGGGCAAGGATTCCATTGCCTTTCATCCAAGCTCTGTAAAAAATGTGCCAGAAATTTGGCTTTCAGCCCCCAAATATTTGGCTGCGTGTGCCAAACTTTTCACACCGCAGTACAATGAAACTCATCTGAATTAATCTCAGATTGTTATTACAGCAAATGACCCCATGCCAGGTCAGTGCAAGTAAGAAAAAGCTTGGCTGGTCTTAACCTAGAAAACCATAAAATATGTCAAACGGATGTCTCTCAAGTGTGTGATAAAAATGCATCTCCACTGCCTCCAGCAGTCTTGTATCTGACCTCCGAGCATTAGAGAAGAGAGACCATATTGAATGCTTTCATTTCTACATAAAATGCTGATCATGATAGTTCAGACATGCCAGATGGCAGTAGTGGTGATAAATGGTGTTGATGCCTCAGGAGAAACGAGATAGTAAAGTTATATTACGTTCAGTTGGGATTTTAAACATGTAATATAGCTAAAACTGTTATTCTCCTGCAAAATCATACGCCTCATATTTCAGTGCCAGGTCATATATGGGGGGAAAAATTCCTGCCATCATGTGCTACTACAAAAAGCAAACTTTCCATGTCACAACAAAACATCCCGACACACAGTATATACAACATTTTTTTATGTATGTATATGTATATACGAAACGATGAACCATTTGTATAGGAAAATCCAACAATGTTATTTTTTCTTTATTCCTTACGCAAGTATAGCAACAGATATCTGGAAACAGGGAAATAACACCACAACGCTAGATTTGAAAAAAAAACGTACCTCCCACCTGTAACAGGTCCCTTCTTCCTTTGTAAAATCAGTGCAGATTTCTGAGCCAAGGGCCACCCGAGGTGAGAGGAGAACAAGGCTGTCTTCAACTCTGAGCTGGCTGAGGCTTAACTGCAACTGAAGGATGTTTTAAGACATGTCAAGGATCTAGATGTAGTTTGTCCTGCCACCCCCCCGGCCCTCTCCTGGTGTTCCCAGGACCCAGATGGCTTCACCAGAGACATGTTTGCCCTGACCCCTCTTTACCAGCCTGTCTGCCACTGGTGGCCTTCCCTCCACCTTCCACTGCCTCGGGGAGCGACAGAGAAAGGAAGGGAAGTTGGAAACTGCGGAGTTGTTTGGAGAGTTATTTTTCAGTCGTCCACTTTAGTGTAGAAAAATGGGCAGAAAGTCCTTCTCCTGCAAATCGCCTTTTCCTTCTGGTCACATCTTTTCTTTCTTTGTGTCGAGCAGGAACTGCACTCAGCAAATCCATCCTGTTAATCACACCATACCTACTCGCTATGCACAGTGAAGGAGACAGACAGTAAGAGATGTCACAAGCTGTATTGCCTGTAAAACCTTGAGGAAAAGAGGTGCTACAGGAACACAGGTTTGTCATACTTTTTGTGTGTGTTACTCAAACTCTTTGTCCTTTAGCAACTTGGAATTTAATTTCCTTTGTCTAACTCCTCTTATTTAATTTTATTAATTAGAAGGCAGCCAAATTTAGAAGAAGAAATATTACAGAGGTATATAAGAAATAAGACAGTGGAAAAGTCTATCAGGCAAAGATTAATTTGTCCAATTTCAAAATGTATATTGCAATATTTTATAGCTGACAGGTGATCATGGGCAGATGGTCATTATAATTTATCACAGCAGGAAGCTGTTAAAATGACAATATGGGCAGGTATAAAATTATATGAAGGAGAAGTTATAGAAGATAATTTTGAAACTCTAGCAACTTGTCCTTTTAAAGTTTCAATCACCAAAAGAACATAATCCAAAATCTAATTATAATTTTAAAAGACAGAGTAGGGAAAAAAAAATAGCCTGTTGAGGGGGAAAAAAATTTATGCAGGCAAATTTCCATCATTACTTCCTCCTATTCATCAAAATTTATGCTTTGCTACACAGGAACTCTGTAAAAGTTTTTTTGCCTCATCTCTTTTGTTTTGAATTTATTGACCGATATTCCAAGAAGCAGAGAATGGGTATCCAACCCCAATTTATGCCTTTGAAAATCTGCCTCTCTCTCTCCACTTTCGCAACCCTATCATTTATAAACAGCAGCCGCATGTTATTTTTTAGTGGAAAAGGAATGTTCTCTGGCACTGATCAGCCTTGAGTGAAGTTTTATAGCAGTCTTATAAATTTCTCAGTAGCAGGGTTTATAATGAAATTGCTGAAAGCGCTCTGACTCTGCTCTGCTGGCTGGCATTTGGACACTGCTGATGGGATCCCTGCTATAAACTAACAAAAGCAGCTTGAAACGTTCCTTCCATCCTGCTGCCAGCACTGCTTGTTGCTTTTACAATTCCACCATCAAAAGTCCACAAGTTTGGCTATGATGGGCTTTTTCTTTAGGCTTTCCCGTGCTCCCTTTGGCCACTGGGACCTCTCCCACGAGCAGGACCTGATGATCAGCAGCTCCTGGAGGTTGGAGGGAGTTGCTCCGTAGGGTGCAGGGTCTGCCACGCTGACCAAAGGCACGCTGCAGGTGCTGCTGCAACAGAAGTGCCAACAGAGGGTTAAAGCGAGGCTTTACACTTCATGATATGCAGAGCCAGCAGGGGTATTCAGGTCCTTCTGAGATCTTCTAGAGTTTTTTTTTCTTCTGCCTTTCAAAAGGGAAAAGACCTGTCCCAAAGTGGGGGCGTTCACAGGAGCCCAGGGGAAAGGCTGTTTCTGGCAGGAGCACTTTAGTAGTGAAATACTGAAAGGAGGGGAAAAATAGAACCAGCATTCTAACCTTTCCTTCAGTTTATTGGCAGAATTTTAAAACGATCTTCGTGATCTGCAGCTTGGATGCTAAACCAACCCTTTAGGCAGGGGATGCTGGGTCTCAGCCAACCAGCGTGTAATAAGCAAAAACACTTTTTAAAAATTTGATTATACTTGAGCATTCCCACAAAATCCTGATAATGAGGACAGAGGCCGATCCAGTCCTCACTGAGATCGAAGTGAGACGACCTGTGCCGTGGCCCCTGGCCACGTTACAAAGCATCTCCTTAAGGTCAAGCCCATCTTTGTCTCTGTCTCTGGCTGGGAATAGGACCCGTCTCTCAGCCAAGCACAGCTCACTACTAAGAAACCTACAATTTAGTAGGTTTTTAGTAAGCACCCTATTGAGAAAATAAATGAAATCTCTATATTACTCGCACTTGACAGGGAAAAATTCTGGTTTCTGCTGAAGCCAATGGCAAATGTTTTTTAGTTTCAATGAAGCAAGATAAAATGAAGAGTGACTTGGCAAACCCTTGAGCAAGGATTAAGTAAATTTGGAGTCCTTTATCATCTTTGCACAATGAATGGATTTAGTCTTTTTTTCCCTCCATTTTCTGAAAATGCCACGTCTCGTGCACTAATAATGATACATAGTAATAGTATAAGTATTTTTAAAATTTTTAATTGCTAAGCAAGGCTGAAGTGCATCTCATCTTATTTTTTTTGGTTTGTTATTGTACAGAGGAAAGGAAGATTTAAAAAATCATTTTAACTGGTTAAACATTACTGTAATAAAAGCATGTCTTTAAAAAGCGAACATTTTGTCACTCATTGCATCATTTACATACTCACAAAGTCTAATTATAAATATACATTGAAAGACAAACTGCCATGTGAAAGAAGCAAGAGAAATTGATTTCATGTATTTTTAATATCTCTCAGCCACCACTGTTCTGGTTCCGCAAAATATACAAAGGAGAACATTTTGAACTTTATTTGTCCAATTATAACGTATTGCAAAAGCATAATTACTGTTCAGAAACATCCAATTTTGTCTGCAGGAAACTGAATGTGACTGATAACAATATAGACTCGTATCCTTGTAGGAGGTCTGGGCTTACTCATATGTTGTTCTGAGTAACAGGCTTTTTAACTGACTACCTGGGACTTCGGTCATGCTACGCAGGCATTGAAAATCATGGATTTCTAGCCCAGGGGCAGAAGATACCTGAATGCATATTCATGAACAGAAATAAAATTCCTGTTAAAATTCGGTTCTATTGTTTTATTAATACTATCTGCTTATAGAAGTACTTCTGAGAACAACATCAAACACTATTATCTGAGAAAGATGATTTTTATGTCATGATGATGTTTTTTATGTCCAGAATGTTCATGCATGACATTCACATCCATATGTATAAGTTTAATACATTTCCTCCTGTCATTTTCCTACATTATTGAACTGAACAAAATTCAATAAAACACAGACTCCACAGTTCACTTGTCAACATCAACTACAGTTTGCACAGGCTTTTTCAGCTAATGCACCCGAATATAGTCCTCCTTTGCATTTCTTGAGTCAACTTCCTGCCTATCAGTGTATCTGAATGGGTAAAAGAAGTCTAAACATGACAAACATGAAATTCCCAGGTGTTTGTAAACTCAGTGTCTCTTGCTCACAAGACCTAATGGCCTGAATTAAATCCTGCTGCATCTGTACCTTCCCATCTGCTCAGTGCAGAATTGTCTCTCCTTTCTACCTCCCCAAGCCTCATGAGAATGCATTTTCTGGCCTTACTGTCTTAAATAAGGCAGGAAAACGAGAGATGGTGGAGTGCAGAACTGAGGAGGGCAATGAGTCAAGCGAAGAGCAGAGACTCCCCCCCAGACCCCCACGGCTGGCACAGGGGGTCCCCAGGCTCAGCCATCGCGCTCGGGGCAGCGCTGCTGCAAGAAAGCCCCTGCGAGTCCCCAAATCAGGGCCAGGCCACCAGGAGTGAGACCTGGAAAGCGCATCAAGGACTCTGGCTAAATATCCATTTCAGACATCTAGGTTTGAGTCACCGAATAACTTTGGTATTTGATTAAAGAAGACATCAATAAAAAATGCCAAGAAGCTAATTCTGCATACCAAAAGGAGTTTTTCCATGTAGTCAAGCTAGAAAATGACATTATTTACCTACCATCATTTAGGAGTTCAAAGAAAACTAAAGACAACCCACCTGTATGGTGCCACACAATACTGTACGGTGATCAGGCTCCCCTCTGAAGAGAAGTATTTCCTGCAAAATTGGATGGAGATGTGGAGAAACAAGAAGGGAAAGTGCCTACTTACCCTGATTTCCTATAGCCTTATATCTCTTGAAGAACAAACCGCAAACTGCAAGCCACTATGAGCAACCAATAATAGTTTTTTAATGGCAATGTGTAAAAATATAATAGAGGGCAACATACACTTTAATTTGAAATGGAAAAAAACCACAATTTGTAGGGCTGGGATTTTTATTTTTTTTTTTGTTAGCTTAACTAGTTAGCCTGTTTTCTCCTGCTGCCTTTTGTGCGGAACAGATATGCCTGCGCTGATTGCTTGGGGGTTTAATGCTTCCAGCTTAGCAAGGAAAAATGTGATTGTGAGCCCCACTGCAGGTATTTAAATGCCCGATCGAAACATTCAACAATAGATGTAATTAAGAAGGCTCTAATTTTACTTATGCGATTCAACATAAAGAGAGGAGCTCCATTACTTAAGTGTTTACGTCATTCCTCGGAGAAATGACCTTAATTTATTGTAATTTCCAGTTGGAAGATTACCAAATTGGTTTTGAACCTAAGTAGCCCTGTGGGTGCACAGTCATTTGCTGCCAGGTTACATAAAGTACATTGATTACTTCTAATTATAAAAGACTTATTTTTCTTAATAAAGTTTACCCTTATTACTAAATAGATACTACAGTTTAACTTTTCTAACTGTTACAATCACCTTGCATGTGGGCAGTTATCTTTCACAAAATATTTAATCTTTAAAAGTATCTTTACAAAAGGAAACACAGGTTACACAGAGTGTATATATAAAGGCATCAATTTGTGTGTCACCTGAACTCAACTGAAAGATCACCAGAGGTTTGGGTGACTGAGCTGAATTTTACACAGCACAACTAGGTTTGTGCAACTATTCTTGAGAGAAATTTCGCAAAATGTTTGATTTGGGTTTATAACTTGGGACCATGATGAACACTGTTCAACTGACGCTCCAAACCACCAGCCACTGTTTCCCAGTTCAAATTTTCATTGACAATTTCCAGCTTCAGTAGAACCTCCTGGTTGCAGACAGCTATTTTTCAAGGGCAAGCTATCATACACAAGGAAAAAGCCAAAAAGAGTTGAAAATTACTGTGAATAAGCAACAGCAGTTCAAAATTAGAGCTTTACTTCAGACTGAAGATGGTGGATAGTTTCAGAAAATACCAAAATGAAAACAACAGCAAAATTGCTCAGTTCAAGGATATTTTAGGCCACAATCACTAACCATAAGTCTTGGGAATGCCTGATGATGCCACATTTGAGAGCTTTAACGTGTCAGTTAATGTCACATACAATGCTTCACAAATAAACTTAATCAACATGCAAAATGTATTTCTATTCTCTTTACCTTACCTTCTCATCCCATCTCTCTGGGAAAGCTTTGCAGGTGATGACCATTTTTTTCTGGAAGAAGACTGGGCTACAGTCATTTGAGACCTCATGAAAAGCTCTCAGTTTTTCAGCTGCATTTCCCTGTTAAAAATATTTCTACGTCACCAAATATCTTCACTTTCCACTTGGTTACACTGGACTCCAGATTTTCAGACAAGAACTGCTTGATCTGTCCTACAGCAACTGTCCAGCCAACACGTGTCGGAACACCTGATAGAACAAAAAAATCGGTCAGTTTATAGAGGAGAGAGCCCCAAACCACTGAAGCGTTCTGCACTGGAGAGAGGGGGAGGCTGGGTGCACGTGTGTGCGCGTGTGCTTATGGGGAAGAAGCCGTTTCCCACAGGAATTTTAATTGGATGCTTTTCCTCCTTTCCTTTCTGTTTCTTTATTAAAATATAGACTTCCTGATGTCTCATATATTCTTCATAACGAAGAGGGTCGGGCAGTTAGAAATCCAGAGGCAATGCCTGGAAAGGGATCTTTAACACTCAGGTAAGTCTCCTGCTCAAACGGAGCATTTCTCGTGCTTACTGTGGGGACACCATAAGCTGTGCAGAAAATCACTGCATCTCCTTGAGGGCCACGCGGGGTGCACTCCCACCGAGCCCAACGCGCTTCAGACACAGATTAAACTTCCAGCCTGAACGACTATTAAGTTTCTTGCCAATTCTCTATGTTTTTATATAAAATACCTACAGGAAATTCATATTTGTCACAAATAATCACATCCTTATCTATCACTGGAGCAAGCTGAAACCAATACAACCCCAGATTAAAGCCGTATGGGTTCTTTCCTTGTGTATACAAAAGGAAAGATTAAATGTTCCTGTAGGATTTGTTTCCTTCTTCCACTGATAATGGGATTTATTTTTTTTTTACCGTGTTACCAGAAGTGTCTGCAGTCAGTTATCTTCCTTTCTGAAAAAATCTGATGTCTGAACAACATTCTATACTTGATTAGTATTTTAGAAATATTACACTGTTTAATAAATTTTACTAAAAATGAATACAGTGACATAATTTGATTATCAGCTATTAATTTGGGGTATAAAATGTGTTGAATACTTCTATGAAAACTCCAGTGCTCCCTCTCCATCTGTAAACTTCATGACTTTTTTCACCATTTTCAGAATACCAAATATATATGAAGTGTTACCAATAATGGGGCTGAGAGTAAAATTCCGGGTGAGGTAGAGCTGTGCTCGCCTTGGTACCAGCAGTTTGGGTGCCTTAAGCACACTCTGAAGAGATGGGTGACAGCAGAGCCTGGAACAAAAGCAGACACAGGTCAGGAGGAGCCCAGAAGGAAACAAACCCCGTGGCACTCGTCACGGCAGCTGGTACCCAACCCCTGCTTGGTTTGCAAGTAGCACCAGGTAAACCTGCCTGACTGCACGCCGTCTGCTAAACAGCAGCCTCTAAGAGAGCAAAATGACTAATAATGACTATGTAAACTTTATGGAACAAATAATCTTTCATCAAACCAGGTGTTCACCACGGAGCATTTTTAGGTGTACCCACCCACCAAAATCCACTCTTCTGGGAAAGGTGATGCGAGAAATCTCTATGCCGGTGTACTGAGTCTCGCTGGGGATGTTTTAAACACGGGTTTAACCCCTGGACATGTACACAGCAGTCAGCACGGCGGTGGTGTTGTGGAACTGACAGCACACCCCTGCCAGTAAAACCTACAGGCATAACAGAGAACCGTTTGTATTTCAGTCGCTGGCAGTTCAAATGCTCCTGCCTTCATTTCACAGTATAAACCAGCAGGTGCAATTCTTGTCTGTGTTAATTCCCAGCTACAGGTGGGCAATTAAAAGATCACGTTGACCAGTACCGGTCCCGGAGCCTGAAGACGGTGCCGTGGCATTGCTGATGCTCACACCACGAGGGGTTTCCTGGGCTCCTGCCGGGGCTGGGGACAGCAGAGGGAAGGCGACGTGCAAGAGGAGCTCAGAAGGGTTGGCACATCAGGCACATCATATCCTCAGGCATCTCAGCACACAGGGCTCAGCGTGCAGGCAGCAGCATCCTTTATAGCTCCAATTCTAATGCAAGGCATCATGCGATAATCCAGTCTTACCTGCAAGCAAATGAAAAAATAAATACCTTTCACTCAGCACTACCTGAATACTTCAAATAAAAGAGTGTTTGAGACAACTAGATAGCAAGCAAGGGGAAAGGCAGCCTTTCTGAAGGTTTTCTTTCCACAGAGGGGAAAAAAAAGTGGAGAGAGAAACTTTTGTGTGCGTTGTGTACAGAGCTGAGAAAGAAGAGAAAGAAGCCAGAAGCTGTTTGGAAGACTTTACTCAGACACTCTGGGGAAAACTTCAAAAAATCCTGCAGCAAAAAAGGCTTACATTTTTACTGAAGCAAACCCACCCCAAAAAACCAGACAAAAAGTAAACTCCAACCTCCCCAGCACCCGGAGTTTAACAGGACAGCAGAAACACTGGAGGACTCCTGAAATATTGAAGGAAGTTTTTACCTAGAAGACAAGTGAAACAGGAGGCTCATTGAGAGTTTGAGAGGAAAAGGATATTCTAGAACTGGGCCCAGACAAGAAATAAATTCTCCCAAAGAAATGAACCCAGGGAAGAAACGCATGGGAATGAAGATCTGAGCTGTGGTACCTCCACCAGGATATTGTATGAGCCAAAGTTCTGCATTTAAGCCTGGCCGTGGGAAAGCTCCCACCCAGCAGCAGCCAGCGGCCCCCTCAGCCCTCCTGTGCTGCCCCAGCTGTGGGTGCACACACACACACCCTCCCAGTGCTGGTCCGAAGGCATCCTCCGACCTGCCCCCATCAGCCATCTACTTAGAGGCCATCTGTATTCATAACCCGAATCCTGCCAGAACCCACAGTCACAATCTCGCCTAAAATATTCCTTGCTCCTACGGAAAGGATTTGATGAATGTTTGCAAATGCTTCAAGCACTGTTTTATTGTAAGATTAACTGCCTCTTATTTGGATGCTTACTCTTTTTGGGAGTCATATCTGCTCACACTTAACAAAATTATTCCTGTCAAGTCCAAGAGCTCCATTTTCTGCTGGACTTGTTTGATCTCATCAGCACCTCCTAAGCAAGCTGCATTTCTTTGTGTTTTCATGCACTCCAAAAGCTCACTTTCAAAATGACTTCCTTATACATAGCTATTCATTAGGATTTCTGAATCACTTACAGTAATCGACATTTTAGGAATAAAAGTATTCTATCCTCTGTTCCTAAAGTATTCTATTCTCTATTCCTATTAGAGAGGAATATTCCTCTATTCCTAAGAGCATTTTATTGTTTATTATCATTAGAGAGGAATATTCATCTGTAACTAAGAGTATTCTATTCTCTATTCCTATTAGAGATGCATTTATTAGCACCATAGGCGGCAGTAAACAATTATAAAATTCACCATAATGTCACATCATAAAGGGTCCAGAACACTCTCTGTAAGTGGTGCTGTCTCAGGGATTTAAAAAAACTGGTGTCTCTGAAACCCACAAAAACACTCCTAATCAGCGGGTCTTGGCTTTGGCCTGAAGATAAATGCAAATGGAAATAACCCTTAATAAGAAAGAAAAGCACAAGAAAACAAAGGAAGAAAAGAGCTCTAATGGGTAAAACATAACATGGAAGAAAAAGTAGAGATTATTTCATTTCACAAGGTCCTTACCTGTTCCTGAAATAGGTAGCTGAATACAGAGTACACAGATGAGGGAAAAAAAAATATAATAAAAAATAATCCATCCTTCTTTGAAACAAGAAGAGCTCAGGAATTACTGTAGTAGATGTGTTTAGAGACCACTTCCCATCTCTCATCTACAGCGAGACCCGGCTCCACGCACTGATAGAACAGCCTTTGGTCCCTCCCGCTGGCAGAAGGGACGGGAGGGGAGGCCATGGCCCCCCCCACCCTGCCCGTGCCCCTCCAGCGCCCCGACACCTCTCAGAGACCCCATTTACTGCAGATCTGCCCCAAACGGCCCCATCCTTCCTGTGGGAGCTGGGCTTCAGCTGGAGCAGGGCTTTGCAAACGCTGCCAAGAAGCCTCCGGAGTAGAAATGTTGGCTAATAAAGGACTGTTACTGTTCTTGAACCACTGTTTGCATATTCATTTCATCATGGCAGGCCGCACGTCTTTACTATGGAGGAGACTTCAGGGCTGAATTATACTTAAAAGTTTGGGATTAACAGTAATTATGGCAGGAATAATTACCTTTTAACTAGAATCTCATGACAAACACAAAATTTGAATCTCTACGTCACCCATTTGAAAAGCTTCAGAGTACTTGGAATCAACATTTCAGTTCAGGACCTTCCCTATTTCAGCCACCAATCTGCAGATATAATAAAGACGACTACAACTGTAATTAAAATTAGATAAAAAAATCCTTCTGTTGTTCTGATAATTCTACTGGCCAAGCTCTATGGATGTTACTGAAAACTGAAAATGAGAACAATAGCAAAAACGTGGCCCTGTAGTAGTCTGGGAACCCTTCTCAAAGATGCTAGATGTGCAGAGATGATTGATCCAAGGTGTCCTTGAGCACCGAGTGCGGGAACAGGAGAAACAGGCACGTTGTGCCATCTGAACGCACCGCACACAGAGCAGCAGCACATCACAGCGTGGTGCCAAAGCAAACCCGGGTCTAGCAAGAAAGGCTACAACTCCATACCTTTGCAAAACTTGTGACGATTTTCTGACTTGGCTGTATTTTCCCCGTTGGCCCCGCAATGAGCCCTCGGACTGGCTGTTCTACTCTCTGTACTACTGACACACAACCTCTGGTGTAACTCTAAATTTCTTCTTCTTCATGTAAAGTTAGCATTTCCCACAAACTACACATCAGAAGTCTCCAAGGATGGACACTTAGAGCAGAACAGGTGAATATTTGTTGTAGTAATTTGTTGTCCTGCTGAATTTTGTTCATGTAACAAGTTAATTTCCATTTGGTGCAAGAGGCGTAAATTCCCCAAATCACCTGGAAGGGTTTCAATACCAAATCCAATCTGTTACAGGAGAACTAGAGTAGAGCAGAAATATTGCGAGGCCAGTGCCATCCAGAAGATATAGCTTTCTAGAAGGCAGTGTATCTAAAAACTGCTGAAGCACATGGTACTAAAAGGAATGAAAAGTGCGTGCAGTTTCCTGTATTTCAAACCCTATCATTTGATGAAATATTGTATAGGAATTTTTAATGTCCTGTAGTACTATTAGCAGGATTTTCTAATTATCAGTAGACCTTAAATCTATCTCTGGACAGGGTAAACATTCTTTTTCTATGAATAAGTTCACATTTAATTAGTTTATTGCATGTGTTCACTTTATTTTTCTTTATAATTAATCCTGCACTTATTTTTTTTCATATCAGCACATTTCAGTGTTAAGCTGCTATTTATAATGAGTCTGAATCACGTCTTGATTTGGTTCCTTCCATTTATATGCGCACTCCATATTAAAAAAAATAATATTATGGTCATTTCAATTTTTGTTCTAATTTCTGGCCCAACTCCAAAATAAGAATTTATAAAATACTAAGTGAATTACACATTTTGAACTTAAGTAAATGATACTAAGGAAATGCAATTATGTACACTCAGTGTCCATTTGCTCACATAAAGAATCCACGGCATCACTCACCACCACTGGGCAAGCCTCTTCCAGAGAAGACCCCTGCCCTTACCTGAAGCCAGGGGAGGTTTCAGGGTGCGCAGCTCGAGCAGTCGCTCAGGAGTGATGCTGAAGGTCAGCTCTGGAACTTCTCAGCAGAGTTGTGCAAGCACTTGGATTCCACAGGTAAATCCTCCGCAAAGCCAACAGAACAAGATCTAGCATCTTCCATTGACAAATTCTAGTCCGGAGCTCGGTCTGACAGTGGGTTACCAACGTCTCTGCGTACTTCTCTTTCTTCTTTTTTCCCTGTGTAAAAGACAGCACAACAATCATGTTAAAAGGGATGGGCAGAAATTCTGTGGCGTGCTCAGGCAGAGAAGAGAGGGAAGAGGCTCAAATATACTGAGCCAGATCTCAGAATGTGTGGCTCCTACATTTCTCACTATATTTGCAACAACATGCAAAAATACTTCCTGGGTGTTTTCCTGGCTCAGCTGAAGTCAATGCAAGTTGTGCCCTCAAAAGTGCTGGAATCAGGATCCGTATTCCAGATCTCACGCTCAGCACAAAACGAGCGCTTAAAATAACATCACCAGACTTCATACCCGAAGCTGATGACCTCGTGAACACCAGATGGTGGTGACCTGGTTTCTGCTCTGGCTTCTGCAGCTTCAGTATCAACCACATTGACCTTCAGTGTGTGAAGATCCTCCAGCTGCTTTTGTTTGTTCCCTATGTGACAAACCCCAAGGTTCTTAAACCTCCATCTAAAATCTGAGTTCAATAGCCTTTACTATTCAATAGCCTTTCAATAGTTCCTTAATTTTATCAGAAGTATAACTCTTTAATATTAGACATAAATTTATAGGGAGCTGCCATCTAAGAACTATCATCTATATTTATCTAAATTTATTTTCCTGCTCACACCAAATATGAGATAACCACCAGCTACTCTTAACACCACATTTACAAAACCTCTCTTGCACAGCGCCAGTGAAGCCCGTGGTTAAGTCAGCCTGTTGTACACCAATGATCAGTTCTTTTTGTCATTCAGAAACACTATTTCAATGCTGAAAGCAGATAATTTGAATTTATAAATGGTAAAATCTCTGAGGTTTGAATAGGCTGAGATCTGCTCTTCCCAGATGTCTTCTTTACTGGCTCAAAAAGAGAGTTTTTGTGATTCTGAATCATAAATCACAGCCTTGTTCAAAGTAGACCTGCTATTTTTGGGGAGTGCAATAACACTCTGACTGACACGCTAATAGACGGTTTTACATGTTGGCTCCATTGTCCGCTATTTAAGATACGGCAACTCACACTGAGATGTTTTTTTGTTCTCATCAGATTATAAATAAACGCAGAATAAATGTGAATGTTAAAAGGAAACCGCTTGTACCATTTAGGTTTGAAATACAGGAGTAAACATATGGAATTTACATTTCAGCAAACCTTCACTAGAATAATTTTTATCAGCATTGAAGGTATTCTGAAAAGCAGGAAGTCTGACAGTGAGTGCCTGACATTAATAGAATCAAACCTTATTTAATTAATCATTTTGCAATACATTTAGAAAAAAACCCACACTAACAAAAAATCAAAACAACTGAAAACTGTATGCTTAATCTCACTGTAATTTAGAGCTTGAATTCCTGTCCTGATGAGACAGAAAACTGGGACAGAGGAGTGGGCAGACACATTCAAAAGACGGGTAAAAGGAAATTCCTCTGCCTTGCCTGAGTAATCCTTGGCGGCTGCTACAGCCCAATGGACAGGCCATTATCCAGTTCTCCTCATGAGCAGAGGAGGAAGACCTTTGAAGCTCATTGAGATGCTTCATCCCTCTGGAGGCTGATGCACCAAAAAGACAACAGGGTAGGTCCACACTTGCTCTGACAGATGAAGGCAAAGGTGGCAGCAGCCTCCTGGTGAGTCCTGATGGTATCATGGAATCACAGAAAGGGTTGGGTTGGAAGGGACCTTAAAGCCCCCCCAGTGCCACCCCCTGCCCTGGGCAGGGACACCTCCCACCAGCCCAGGTTGCTCCAAGCCCCCTCCAACCTGGCCTTGAACCCCTCCAGGGATGGGGTTCTGGTCTCCCTTTCCTTGGCCAGCACCTCCCCAGCTGCAACCAAGACAAGTGGCATTTTCCTCCACTTAAGACCAAGCTGTACTTTGATATCTAAAGAAAATAAGGACAGAAAATCTTTAATAAACATGGAAGAAAACTGTGCCTTTGTATCGTGTGGTTGTCAGGCCACTCACTGACAACAGGAAATATGAACTGGTCAAGGACGCACACGTCAAAGGTTTATCTGAAAATGGTAGCTCTGGCCAATTTGCTATCAGATTTTCAGAAGAGATATCAATACTTCTGTAACTAATTATTAAAATCTCTTTCAGATTAGATGGGAGAGTTACTCTTACCTGATACAAAAGTCCTCAGGTTTATATGGTACAGGGACAAGGAGGGCAAGATATATGTATTATTTCTTTGTTAGTGTTCAAATTCCCTGCTGTATTTGCCAAAGGGTTTCACTGTCTCCAAAACTGACACTAATTTCACTAAATATTCTCCCAGTGCAAAGCTACACGATAAGCAAGTTATTTGCAATAACTCACCCATCCCTATTACAGCTGTCAGCTGCCGCTGAAATTATAGCAACACCAGGAAAAGACGTTGCCAGAAGTATCCGAATCTGGTATTTTAACTCCTAATACCTAAGATGCATCTCCAACACTTTTGAGCCGACCATGGCATAAATTTTTGATCGCTTAAGACAAATTTTGACTATTAGTCTTATTCCACTATAGATGATGGAGCGAGCAATTCAAATTCTCTGCGGAATTGTTCCAAGCTGTTTGGCTTTCAGCCAGGAATGACAGCAGCCCTTTGATTTGCACATCCCTTTACCCGCCTGCCATAAAAAGGCAGAGTTTTAGAAACCGTCAGAGCCATCTGTCTTCCCAGCCCCCCAGCAGCCGCAGCGGGACGGAGGGCACACCGGGCAGCGGCAGCAGCGGTGGCCAGGGCTGGGTGAAATAGACCCAGTTCATGTCACCCAACCGGGTGTAGTGCGACGGTGCTACACCTCGGCTGGAGTCTGAGTCAGCTCAGCGAGGTGGAAAACGAGCACCTCGGGGCTCAGGCTTTGGGAGAATAAATTTCATCACATTGACTTAAGGTTTCTGATGGCCTGGGCATCCCAGAGGGATGAGGTGCCTTAACAAACAAACTGGACACCTGGATCGAAGATCAGGTGATTCAAGACAAGCTTACTTACTGCTCCGATTCCCTTTCTGCCCCCTGTTCTTATTCCCTCAAAAAACCACAGCCAACAAAACCCCAAACAAAACCAAAACCCCAACCCTAAACTCCGAACCACAGGAAATCAGGAAAGAAAAGACAGAAGCTCTTTGGCTGGATAAGATCAAAGTTAAGCATCTCTGAGATTCGCTGCTGCAGTTACCAACTGTGAGACGATTCCCAGGGTTAGGAGTCATGACAGAGGGTGAGGAACATCTGGATCAGCTGCAACTAAAAGAGGAAAACATCAAATATTGACAGAAGAATGGTGGCCACAAGTTGGACACTTGTATAACTGAAGTTACCCCACAACACTTGTAGTCAATCAGCATTAAGGTGCAACACGGGTCTCATTTATTCCCCGTCTGAGCTCTGACTGACCTGTGCATTGCATACTATTAACCTTTGCAAACCCCCCAAACTTGTTACAGTGAACAAGAACTACCACAACGTTCCCAAAATGGAATTTTTCTATAATTGAAACATTTACTCTAATCCCGAGTGTGTGTGTGGTAATGATGAAGGTTGAGGCGTGCTCACCTAAACCTTCTTGCACGTGTGCTCTCTGACAGTGCCGGGAGTACACAGGCTGGCAAAACACCAGTAAGACTGACTGGTACAGGCCAACGTATCACTCTTGGGTTTTTATCTGCTATGCTGCACTCCAATTTTTGACTTTACTAAATGACGCTAATTTGTTTGGCTATGAATAAATCATCTGTAATGGCATTATTAGTATTTGTCTTAGGTTATATAACAAAAATAGCCAACATTTTTGTGGACAGACTGCTTAAAGTATGTGATAATGTCAAAAAACCCAACTGACTGTGGAACATACATTCTGTGCTCCGTCCTGGCCACACGGACTCCGGCACCCGCCAGCTCCTCGCTAGAGATGGCGAGGGAAATACCAACATGTCAGGGGTCATTCTGTAAATACGCTGTGAAACCACAGACCACAGATTAATGCAGAAAGATCCCTACACTGCAGGTTCTTTTTTGGGTATAACATTGTATTAATGCACCACTAAGTAATAATACAACAATTCCCTGGGTCTGTTCCCTTCCCATTTAAGTCCCGTCTCAAAGGGTAAAGGAAAACATATTTTTAACTCCTAGTCTGAATATTGTATTACATTTATTAATTCAAACCACAAGATTTCTTTCAAAAATAACCATTTCTAATTAAGCTCTGGAAGTGATTTCTGCAGAAGCTACATTTATCTGCTGTAATATTATGGATATTTATTTTATGGTTCTTGGGTTCCTCTAGGCTATTAATTTATATAAATGAGTTGCATTATTTTTCCAAGTGATCAGTGCTAACTGTTGTTCCTGTGTGACATAATGCTTTTGCAATGATATAATTTCAAAGTTTAATGTATTTTCAAAAAATAATTAATTATATGAAAAAATGCAATTGAATGCAAAATGAAAAGAGCAAAGAATAATCTATTTCCTCATCTTCATTTTTAAACATTTTGTTTGTTAAAAAAATAAAAATAAGATAGCCATAATATAATCTTGAACAGTATTTTTTCTTCCAAATGCAAGGTTTCTCACAAAAGCAAAAAGCAGAAAAACAGTCATTTGCTTGACTTGTTACTAGATCCTCAAGGACCTTTCTGACCCCAGCCCAATAAACTTGAAGCTTCTGTCCTTGTAGCCAGTAATTGAAAAGAAACAGAACTGCTCATCTTTGTATTTATTATACTAGTATGATCAAAGGGAGTCATTTGCTATTTAAGGTTTGTCATTGCTAAACTTGAAGGACAGTATAAACAGCATGGAATTTTTTTATATGAAGTGAAATTTGATCAAAATTCTGAAGCTTCCCATTCCCAAAGACTTCTGAATAGATTAATTTTGGCAGGATTTAGTGATTTTAAAATTATTTTTAGGAAGCGGAGCTAAAGATATCGGAATTACTTCAACAGTTCTGGTTGATGACTGCGAAGTTTGTTTTAGTGTGCAAAAATCACACTGAAAAATGATGACA